CCCCGTTGTCTACCTCCTCTGCAGATTTTCCATCACTCCCCACTCTCTGTGGCTTCCTGAATTTATCTGTTGCTGCTTTTAGTTGCAACTTTTGCCCCTTTGACTCACTCACTCAGTGCTTGGACCAGCTGAGGTTTAAAACTGAAGTCTCCTGTCCACCTTAAGTCTTATGGTCTCTCCTTACTCCACTGCATTCCTCCTTTTCTCTGTCTGTCCATCTGATTTGCTTTTACGCCCCGGAGCTCGCCGTCTCCTCCTCCTCCTCCTCCCTCCATCTCCTCTGTCATTCCATAACTTTGGCCAACCGCAGACTTTCTCTCCCCCTCTGCTCTTTCCGCTACAGACTGTCCTGTCTGTCTTCACCACATCCACCTCTTCACCTCACCATATTTTCCTCACAGATCTAGAGACAAGTTTAGAAATCTTTGAATGGGGGGTCAGACTGCAGCACACTTTTAAAGCAGAGGGACACATTCATAAAATGAGCAAAAAGGAGTCACATTTGAAGCCCCAGATATTGCAACTAATTAGCTGTGAAATAAAATCTAATTAAATATTCTAATATGGAATAATATCAATAAAAAGGTGCTATTTGCAACTCCAAATATCCTCCAGCTATGGACAGATCCTGAGACAATGGGCTCCACGATGCAGATGTAAAATGCCCCCTCCCTCACTACAGGAGCAAGACACCCAGACCCAGTTTTGCATCTCATTTGAGCTGTTTAAGTCTCATCTTTTGCCATCTTGTCTTGAACTCTGTGGTCATTTTATATCACTTTTAAGTCACGATGTGTGTCATTTTGCATCTCTGTGGTTATTCTGTGTCTCATTGTACATCGTTTGATTGACTTTGTACCAAAAAGAGTTCGCAATTGCTCGATACACAGGCTCGGGTGTAGGGGTCCTGGGCCCATAATCCATCAACGATTCTAACAAGCCAACTATCACAGTCCTCCTGCTGGTGGAGCCCATACTATCACCAGAACATCTCTATGACCCTCCCTGCTATAGCCATACATAACATGGAAAAATACTGTTACAGTGTGTGAGCTGGAGTGTGTATAAATATGGGTGTGTGTGTGTTTAGCAGGTCAAAAGAGGATAACCGATGACTCTGCACTTGCTAATGCATCAAGATAAGATGGGGAATGGAGCTGTGTGTGTGTGAGTGTGTGTGTGTTAATGCATTGACTTGGTTGGAGATAGGAGACACAGATGGGAGGCCAGAGTGAGAGTGATCAATACCTTTGTGGTGGTGGTAGTGTAGCTTTGTCCTCTTTTCTCCAGTTCTTACATTTTACCAGAAAAATCTAAATCAACAATGAATCATAAAATCACAAATGTGTTTTCAATCTTTACTGTTCCTACTCCTTAAACGTGAGTCTGTGGTGTCTGCCTTAACAGTGGAAGAATCACTCTGAAGGCCAGATTTACATTTTAGTTACCACTTTGTAGATGAGAGCTGCATTCACACACAAAAAAACACATGCACACACACAATACACCATGCACGTCAATATCTTAGTGCTTACTTATGCTTCAGATAAGAATGTGCGGTTGTTCTCTTGCATACTGATGCTAGCATAGCAAGTGTGTGTATTTTGTTGTGTGTGTGTGCTGGTTCCTCTGGGCAGGCCATTAGGACACTAACCGGTTTTTAAAAGGTAGGCTGCCTGCTGACACAACAGTCAGTAAATATGGAGAGAGGATCGTTTCCTCTCAGTAAGACACATCAGCAAACATCAGTCTTCACTACAGTCAGAGAGGAAGACATGCTGAAGTGACACAAACGTGTGTAGAGGCATTCGTAGCATCATGGACTTTATTCTCATTTACCTTATTCTTCACTGACAAAAGTAACATGAGAGGAATTCAACCTGGAACCAATTTGAGAAAACATTACATTCTGACATTTAAAACCTGCCATCTGTAATTGAGGTACTGAGGTATTTTACAGTGGTGGATGAAGTATTGATGTACTTTTAGTGCTGTAAAGTCGTATTAACAAGATGTAAACTACTCAGTAACAAGTAAAAATTCCTACATTCAAAACTAACTTGTAAATATACTAGCAATAAAAATTTTCATATATATTATTAAGTTATTATTGTCAGCGCATGTAAACAGCATATGTGTGTTTCAAGTGGCTGAGGTGAAGCTAATATTACATACAGTATATACTAATGTTACTACTTTATATACATAATATGCATGTATATATAGAAATACATCAATGTCCTATATTTTTTTTTTTAGTTTTGTAAGTAAACCACAGCTGTTGCATAAACACAGTGGAGTAAAAAGGACAATAACTGAAATGTATTGAAGCACCTGTATAAAGTAGCATAAAAGTGAAATACTCAATGGGGTACAAGTTTCACAAAACTGTTCTGCAGTAGTAGTACTTAGTTTCACAGAACTGATCAAACTGTTTAGCTAAAAGGTAAATTTGGGGATATATAGTACAAACAGTGACAGCGCTGTCTACTTATCACAAAATAAGACTCTATTGTTCCAAATGACTGACACTGATATTATGCTATTGCTTATACTATATTATGTTGAATTCCTGCTCAGCACGGTGAATAAGCATTTTAATGAGAGGAAATGAGAGAAGAAATGAGTGATAAACAGAGAAATGGATGGATTGAATAAGTAGACAACAACTGAAGACACAGTTAATTGTGGGGAGGTGAAACCATACTAGAGCCTTACCTGAGCGATGGTACCTGGCTGCAACAGTGAGAGAGGCAGCTGGGCCGAGAGAGGCGCCTCCTGGCCTCCACAGACAGAGCAGCCATCACAGCTCCCATAATGCAGTTGAACTACCCAAAACAACAAGGCCAACACTGCTGACAAGTTTCTCTGAGAGACTCTGGAGATCCAACAGGTCTAACAAGCCAAGATCCAAACTTTAACACACTAAATGTGAAAGCTCAGTCATGGAGATCAATGCTAACTAAGTGCTTTAAATTGCTGAGCTGCTATGTTTGATTCCTGGCATTAAAAATCTCAGCTCCGCCAGAAAGAAGGCAAATGAGCAAAGCTTGAAAGTCTGAATCTCATGTACCGACTACAGCAGCCTTGAAGCACTATGGAAAAGGTGTCAGATGAGAGAGATTTGCAGTGTGAGTGTGTGTGCTTTTTGTCAGAGGCCACATCTGAAAATCTGTTTGAATCTGTGGCACCAGTCACAGTGTGAGAGATAAAAAAGGCAAAGCGATCAAACAGCACTGCAGAGATCCTGACCTTTCACAACGCACACCTCTGTCTGTCTCCTTTCCTCTCTTCTGTTGGTTCTCCACATAGAAATATGACTATAACTCCTATATACACGGTGCCTCTTATACAAATTCTTGCTCTGCAAAGTGTTTCTCCCCAAAATGCACTGTGTATTTCTCATCCTTTTATGATTTGTAACATCAGTACATTTATTATCCAATACTGCTTCACAGATTCTCAATGTAAAATTTACAGCTGATCTTCACCTTTTATTGTTGTTTATTTGACTCACTGCTTTTAAACAGAAAGGTCAACTTTAGTTACATTCTTTCATGGCAGCCTATGATCTATGACCAAAGGGTCACTCGACTGCATTTTGTTATGGACAAGAAACAACACAATATGCACGGCTGGAGATACTAAAACACAGCAGAGGAAAATGCCATGCAACCGAAAGTCTGTCAACAACAACTATAGGAGCGGTATAAATAATGGATGGACACATTCACCTTTTTTCTGGTTAGCTTAGCTTAGCAAAAAGACTGGAAACAGGAAGAATCAGCTAGCCTGGCTCAGTCTGATGGCAACTCTGAATTTATTAGTTTATGCATCAGAGGTGCTGGTAGGCAGATTTTTTTTTACCTAGCTGTTCCTCCTGCTTCCAGTTTTTATGCTGGTGACCAGTTACTGGCTGTATCACTATTTGATGGACAGATAAGAGAGTGGTGAATTTAATGTATACACTGTAATCTAAAGTGTTAAAATACAGTATTTCTTTAATGAACCAAAATCTTCTTATAATATGTTCTGAACATGGCCATAAGACCATTATTTTGTTATTATCATATTATATTACTGTATATTTTTGGTCTTTCCTGTGGGATTTTCTTCTTTTTATCAGTTCTGATCTGATCTAACGCTCCACAACAAAGTGTGTATTCCCTGAAATACAAAAAAATTACAGCAACTACAGTATTTCTTTGTATTAATTGAGCGTATTGTTTGATTGTATTAATATTAAATATTTTGGCTTGGGTGGCATGGTGGTGCAGTGATTAGCAATGCCAGCTCAGCACCAAGAAGATTCTGGTTTTGAACTTCACAGCCGACGGGGGCCTGTCTGAGTGGAGTATGCATGTTCTCCCAGTGCCTGGGTGGGTTTGCTTTTGATGCAGTGGCTTCCTCCCACAGTCCAAAGACATGCAGGTGATAGGTGACTCTAAAATGCATGTAGGTGTGAATATTAGTGTGCACGGTTGTCTGTCTATGTGTCTGCCCTGTGATAAACTGGCAACCTGTCCTAGGTGTACCCTGCATCTCGTCCA